AAGCCTATTTTGGTTGATTGAGTCTGTGACTGTTTATTCACTGGGGATGCTAATGGGACTTATGGACACTGCTGGCTGGGAACACATATTTACCACCATGATCTCTGTGAAACCATTAAAACTTTACATGGTTCTCCATATAGCATTATTTTAAAGCATCACAAATTGTTATAGAACAAATACTGTTCTGCTAGGGTTTCATAACTGGAATTGCTGGATAGCTCAGTGGTTCAGAGGTTGGGAGTTCGATTCCCCACTGTGCCTCCTTGACAGGGGCTGGACTTGAGGATCCATAGGGTCTCTTCCAGCTCTGCAGTTCTAAGATGATGATGATGATTTTTAACCAGGTCTGGATTGTTGCGTTCTATTTAATATTGTTTCATAACCTGTATGCTGTCCAGAAAATCCTAACAATTACCTGATCTAGAAGTGTAATAGATAAATGCCAATGTATTTTGGGCGAGTTAATTTTGTAACTTATGTGATCACAGCATTTTATAGAATCATTTTATTCTACAGACTGAAATAATGAGGAATACCTTAGATAAAATGGAAATTTTAATTCACAGTAGAATCCTGTACATATCTTCTCAGAAGTAATCCTATAAAAATTCAGTGGGAATTAATGTCTCTGAAATCATGTATAACAGTGGTTCTTAACCTTTGTTACTTGGATGCTTTTGAACTGCAACTCCCAGAAACCCCAGTCAGGACAGCTGGTGGTGAAGGCTTCTGGGAGTTGCAGTCCAAAACTCCTGAGTAACCCAAGGTTAAGAACCAGTGATGTATAAGACTGCAGTGTTTATTTATAATTTGATATAAAAGCAAAAAAGGAATCTGGATTGTTTCCCTCAATAAAGTTATGATTTTCCAGCTATCTTTGCATTTCATTGGCTTTCTAATAGGATTCACTGTGCCCGACAGAAGCTGAACTAAAGAAATTGGGAACTGAGAATCAAAATCATTGGATACACATAATTTCCAACATCTTACTCCTTCAAGAAAGAGAAAGAAAACGAGGTAAGAAAATAATTACATAGTGTACAAAAACTAATGAGCTGCAGTGGCTGATGTTGTTTGAATGGAATGAGGATAGTGTTAAGTGCATGCAGAACTACAAGGATGGCTCACCTTTGGGTCCATGGTGGTGTTAATATCCAGCAGTTGTCTGAGGACCAGAGACATCTCTCACTACACATTGAACACAGATCACATAATAAAGAGAGTGTCATCTAATGATAATGGCAGGGCTGCCTTGTAGGGCAAGGAGAGGCAATTTACCCAAGGGACCAGCTTCCTCAACTGACAGGAATACTAAGAGCCATTGCTTTGGCCCGGTTATATTGGCCAGTGGAGGCATACATGGGTATGGATCCTTGTGGGGGCAGTGGCAGGACCTCTAATCTCAGAGCTTTGCCAGCCCCATAAGCCCTCTGGGCAACTCTAGGTAATGGGACCAGTGTTTGCAAGCACAGTTAAAGATGTACATACTATGTCTGAAGGATAAATGTAACATTAGACTGTAATATGTAGATGGGGATCTTTGACTCCCAGAGGCTGCTGAGCTATAACACTGATCATGCCTATTTCTTGGCTGTGATATTGGGACTGAACAATGCAGGGCCTAACTCCTGATTGTACAGCATCCTTGCTTATGACTGGGGGTAGGGATGTAACTGATCATGCCTATTTCTTGGCAGTGATATTGGGACTGAACAATGCCTGCAGGGCCTAACTCCTGATTGTACAGTATCCTTGCTTATGACTGGGGGTAGGGATGTGTTGGTAGGTGGAAAACCCTTTCTGTTTCCTTTCAAATGAAGCACACACCATTTTCTTTATACCAGTCTTTGGTTCAAATTGGTAGGGGAACACGACAGGTTCAATGGCATTGGGGTAGATCTACCTGGAAAATTGTCAATTGACCATCCCTGTTACATTAATCTTCTAAAAATATGGCCACACCTAAGTGGCTAATTGGATCACCTAAGCAGTTCAGCTGGTCTTGCTTTCATGTCAGAAGAAGACTGATAATTTTAAATTCTGGATTGATTTTTTTTTATGCAGGTACTCTTTCACTTGTAATACATATTTCTTCATTCACTCCAAAATGTGGTAAACCACCCCCTAAGCCTTTTAGAGACTGTCCTGCTTATGATTGAACCACTAAACATTGATTAACAATTCTAGTTGGTGTGTTATGTGCTTTCAAGTCACATCCTAGTTATGGTACCCTAATAGAGTTTTATAGGTAAGAGAGTGGTTTTACCACTCCATCCTAATGAGTTTCCATGACTCAGCAGGATTTCAACCCAGGTCTCTTAAATCCTAGTCAGGCATGCTATTCTCTCTTCCACACAGGTTCTTGCCAAAATTCTAGGTTGCCACAAATATTTGCTTTACATATTACCTCTCCACTTATACAGCTGATATAATGTCTGTCTACAGTCACCCATGCATCCTGACAAAATGATGCAAGAACTCAGGAGCCTCCAAGTGCAGTCTGGAATGCTTCCTATACAGCTGCATTTGGAGAAATCTATAGAAACTCTAAAGAGGTTAATTATAAATCATAATTTGTGCATGATTCTTTTGCATATATACAACTCTTCAAGTAAAGAATCTTCCTTCTTGACTTCTAATGACCAAGGACAGCTTTGTGTAACCTTGAGGGGCATCTCTGTGTTCATTCAAAGTACGTACTTCTTATGTATTCATGAAGGAATTTTATTTGAATGTCAGATTTTGATTTGTATGCAGTATGATTAATTGACTAATAGCTGTTTCTGCCATTGAGTCCAACCTTCTAGCCTATGCCTTAAATTATACAGTGGACCCTTGACTTACAGACGGCTTGACTTACAGACTTTTTGAGTTACAGACTTCTCTGGCCGCAAAATTTAGGTTTGACTTGGCCATTGAGTCTTCAAGCCTATGCCTCTATCATACTTGTTAAATTATAAGGTACTCAATTAGAATATTCAAATGCAACATAAAAACTACATACTTTGGATCTATCAATTAGAATATTCAAATACAACATAAAAACTACATACTTTGGATCTATAGACTATATAGAGGGTGAAAGCTCTTAGCAGAGAGGTGTGGCTCTCTTTGAATTCAGGGGTAGGGAAGGAATGATGGATTGCTACTTGCCCAGAACAGTCGTTCTCAGTCAAACCTACTAGAAGCAGCATGCTTTTAATGGAAGTTTGTACATGTGGGCTGAGGGGTAGTCCTGTAGGCCACAAAAATGCTCCTGGTAGCTGTATGCAATCTACAGGTTGCCCTTTCCCCTTCCTTGATCTAAAGAGAGGGGCTAGATTGATAGTGTCTCCTGTATATTTAACATTACGCATTTGGTGGTTGTTGCCATTTTGCACGGTATATGTGCCCCTCCAGTCTTCCCCTGTAAGATCATTGTGGCCTGAGTCTAAAATTATCAGATCTTAGAATTGAAATTATTCAGATAAATGGTTTTTATATTTGCATTACAAACTTTCATAGAGAGTGTTGTGGGTTTGTATCCTACTGGAAGATATACAGTATTTGTAACTCTGAAAGACTCAGTCAGCGGTGTATTCCTATACTAGTAGTGTTTTGATTGTGCCTTAACTGTGGATCAGGATTTTCTACTGGCAATTCAGCCTTCCCATTGTGCTACTCTGTGACCCTGCATCTACTTCGCTGAAAAGGACAATTCAAAGAGCAAAAATAAAATACAGAGACTTTTCTATTATAAGCGCTGTACCAAACAAATGTGAACATTGACATGCTCTGTAACTTTACTCCCAGTTTAGGATCAACAAACTTGAGAGCTTTCCTCAGGAATGTAGAGGTGAACTCTGAAAAATAAAGCATGTAATCATAGCAGAGTCCTTGAAGATAAGTGAAATATGAAAAAATGTGTGCCTGAGCAATTGAAGCCTTATCAAAAGTGATACCGCATACTGGTAAACACCACTGATGCATAAAATTCTTTTTCATTTAATATCTGTTTATTCTCTCTCTCTGTGCTGTGTCTGTATGTGTGTTTCCAAGCATTTGTATATACCATCAAATGTATATGAGACCAAGGGACATAGAAAATTCTCTATTGTTTTGTGGATGCTGCTGCTGATTTTGTTTTTGGGGTTACGAACAGCTGTATGAAGCACAGACAACATGTCCAGTGGGATGGTTTACTTTTAACCATTGATTTCTGTACCATAACCATTTCCCTGCTTTTGAACCCCTCCTTACTTTTAAAAGCAGTTTTCCATATGGGTTCACCATATGCATTGACAGAGCGGGGAAGGTTGTGGGGTGGGTAGTCTGAGTGCCATAGTTTGAGATGTGGACAGTAGAGGAGAAGGTATACAATTCTGGGCTCTCCACTATAGAGGAGTGGGGGCTGCTTATCTTGAGAGCTCCTACCACCAACTTGTTCTCCCAGCCAGAAGGGTTCTGGCTGCTTGGGCAGTCACCCTCTAGTTCTTAAGATCTGTTTATTCAGATATTAATTTAGAAGAATTCTGTCTCAACCTTTGAGGCAAAGCTTCCTTGGTGCAGTTAAAATACAGTTGACTATACTTAAAGCAACATAAAAATTTAAAATAGTCAAAATTGTTTCTCTTTAAGTAACTATAAAAGATGGGATTACATTCAGTTAACTTCTAAACATTAAAAGCAACCTGAAAACAACCATGTTTTAAGGCCTGTTTGAAATCTACATATATCCTTGAATAACATATAGTCCTCCAGAGAAAAGCCCCCTCTATTGAATTTTGCTGCTGAAGGCTGCCCAGTCTACTGCCATCTGTAGTCTAATCCTAGAGGAAAGGGTCAGTGACTGGATGAAATGAGAGAATTTCACCTTTCCTGGCTATGTTCATGAGGACGGTGTACACAGTAGTGGTGGAGACCTAATGTGTAATGGGGTAGAATCACAGTCATCACTGGTGATCCCATTTCTCTGTTTAGGTGCTGCCTTGTCTACCAACACGTCATATGTTGCCTGAGTGAGCAGGTTCCAGAGATAGAACTAGGGTTCTGATTCATTCCACTACCCAACATTTTGTCAATCTGACTTCAATGTGGTGGTCTCAGGAGGTGAACATAACACTGGAATCCTAAATCCTTAACTGTTCTGAGCAATTTCTGTGACAACCGTGGGACTGGCTCCACTCATTTGACAGGTCCTGTACTTGACTTGATGTTGTGATCTCAAGGTTGATAACTTTGGAGTATTTCCTCTGTCATGGACAGATTACTACCTAACATGGTTCAGACTTCTTAACCTCTGCAGGTATGGAGGGTTACCCAGCTTGAAATTGTAAATGAGAATTGTGGCGATTTGGAGAGAGGTATAGTATTCAACCAGGGACGTGGTGGCACTGCGGATTAAACCGCAGAAGCCTCTGTGCTGCAGGGTCAGAAGATCAGCAGTCATAAGATCAAACCCACGCGACGGAGTGAGCTCCCGTCCCTTGTCCCAGCTCCTGCCAACCTAGCAGTTCAAAAGCGTATAAAATTCGAGTAGATAAATAGGTACCACCTCGGTGGGAAGGTAACAGTGTTCCGTGTCTAGTCGCACTGGCCACGTGACCGTGGAAAAACGCTGGCTCTACAGCTTGGAGACAGGGATGAGCATCGCACCCTAGAGTCAGACACAACTGGACTAAATGTCAAATGCCTTTACCTATAGTATTCAAATGCTATTGGTGGCTCTTCTGTCAAAGCTGTTGTGACCTAAGTGAGGAAGTGACATGAGCAATTATTTTCCACTTGGCAGAATCTATTCAGCCACGAATAGCTGAATGGATTCAGCTTTTCTCTTTTCTGAGAAAAGCTGTGGGCAATTAAATGACAGTTAAAATGGCAACAGTGGAGAAAAGATAGCTCTGATGTGCAAATTAAGTCTGCATTTACTTTCCAATAACTCATCACAAACTACAGCACCTAAACATAGGTGAGGAAAATCAAGCACTGTCACAGCATCCTTCTCCACTTGAAGAAGCACCTATGCTAATAATATGCTA